GGTCAGATGGGACATAATTCTCATACTGTGTCTCCAGTGTTGTCCCCCATAGCGCTATGGATCAGTGAGGGGTGTTGTGTATTGTGGTGGGGCCAGCCCTATGGTTCATTCTGTGCATTGGCTGCTTGATCAGGAATATCATCCTCGGGGCTTGGTGGGCATGTCTCTTATTTCTTTGGTGTATATGCCCAGCAAAAGTTATTGGATTGTATGATATTTCCATTCCCAATTTTTTAGGTGTCACTGTATCAGTTTCCACAATGGGTGTACATATTTACAAGCCCATCAGTAGTGTATAAGAGTTCCAATCTTTCTGCACCCTCTACAGCATTTGTTGTTCTCTGTTTTGTGTTGCTTTTTGATTGGGCTATCATTGTGGGTGTAAGGTGTTATCTCATCATTGTTTAGCTCTGGATGGTTAGTGATCATGAGCATTTCCTCATATGATTGTTAGCTATTCGAGTATCATTCTTTGTGAATTGTCTGTTCATGTACTTTACCCACTTTTTAATTAGTTATTTGTTTTATTCTTATTGAGGTTTGCCAGAATTCTACAGAATTTAGCAATTAGTCTCTTGTCCATTGTGCCATTGCTAAAGATTTTTTCCAGGCCATAGGCTCTCGTTTTACTCTTTTGATGAAGTCTTTTGATGTGCATACATGTTTTATTTTAAATAGGTCCCAGTCATTATTTGTCTTCTACTGTGTGCTTCCTTTATTATATTTGGTAGTCTATGTACACTCTGCAATAGGACCCTTAAGCTTGTCCCAATTTTCTTATTGATGATCCTTACAACTCTGGGGTTTACATTTAGGTCTCTAATCCATCTTTTGTTTATTTTTGTGCATGGGGTGAGGTATGGGTCTCCCATTTCATTCTTCTACAGATGGAGATCCAATTTTCCTAGCACCATTTGTTGAAGAGTGTGGAGTTAATGCATTTTGGGTTGTACGCATATTAGCTGTATCATTTTAGCCACCAGTACAATTTTATAATCATCTTTGTTTAGAGATTATGTATGGTTAAAGAGTTATGTACAGGTGTTTAGTTGACTAGGGTGGTCTGTGATGGTTAGAGTCTATATCAACTAGACATTTCTGGGTAGAGTCTGGTAAACCTCCTTGAAAATATAGTCTTTTGTATAAGAAAAAGATCCTAAGGAGTGCCAAATTCTATTTGGCCCTTTGCCTTCTGCTGGGGCTGGATTCTGCATATGGTCCATTGATCTATTATGTTGCCTCACACAGTGGATTCATTCCAATGACCTCAAATTCATTTGCCTTTGTATCCACAAGTCTGTGCCCCACCCCCACCCCCTGCTTTTTCATCTGCTTCCTGTTAGTCAGCTTTCACAGCTACATTAGTCAGAAGAAACTTAACTTGAATCGAACTGGACTTACCTACTTCTATAACTGTGTAAGCTGTTTCTTGATATCAATCTCTTTCTGTCTACAAACACTTACAAATGGCACTGGTTTTGCTTCCTAGAGAACCCAACCCAACAAACCTAACATAACCCTGAGAGAGATGGACTCACACTCTGACTAAACAGTTGGCTCCAACTTAACTATTGTGAGGATGGTTCAGGACCAGGCAGTGTTTCATTCTGTTGTTCATAGTTTATATGACTCATAATGGACTCAAGGACACTTAACAACAGTTCTACCTCAAATATTATATAAGGTAGTGAGACTAAAATGCTGATAAGGCACTGTTGTTTTCCTTAAGGGGTTTAGCCTATAGTTGTTTTTTAATCAGCTATAATAAGAGGCAAATATGTGTCATAATAAAGATACTGGACATTTAAAAAAAACAACTCAATTCTATCAAGTCGTTTCTGACCCATAGCGCAAGAGTATATTCAAACCCAACTGGGAAAATTGTGGATTTTGTAGATGAATCAAAATCTGGAAAAACAAATATTTTTTTAATGTTTAATAATTTATTAGAATCCCTTTCATTCTAGAATTTTTAAAAATCATTTTATTAGGGGCTCATACAACTCTTATCACAATCCACACATACATCAATTGTGTAAAGCGCATTTGTACATTCATTGCCCTCATCGTTCTCAAAACATTTCCTCTCCACTTAAGCCC